TTAGGAGAAAATATTTAATATCTTGTTGATTAATTATAAGCATTGTATTCTGTCTGTGATGTTGAACTCATATTTATGAATGTCATTTCATAAGTCATCTTTTTCCATGTCATTTCAAACCACACCAGTGCTACACTTATCTGACTCAGGAAATGTATCTTGGTTAGTTGTAGTATCTCAGGTGTCATGGCCAAAGTAGATTAACTTATTTCTTTTTTCTTTACATAGTAATTGAAAGAGAGGGTTCAGGGTGATATTTAGAGCTGGCACTGAAAACTTTTCTGGGAGGGGAAGCATTGCTTATTATAGACCAAGAAAAGGAAAAAATGAATGTTTGTCTGCATTAGTCTATGTTCATGCTATTTGAAAACTATTAATATAAGTTTTAAAGACATTTAAACAATAGGAGAATCTACAGATTACTAAACTAATAGTAGAGATTTTTTTTTGCTAAAGTCTAAATTGTTTACTTTTTTAATGTTCATTTTTTTCTATATGTCACTCAGGAATATAAAATAGTCTACAATGATGTTCTTTAGAAGAGTTATCAGATTTCATTAGTAGTCATTCTGGAAGCCTTTCTGCCATAGCACCTACCAAATTCATTATCAGAGCAGAACCAGAAGACATAAAAACCTGTTCAATATATTACAAATTATTTTATAATCAGCAATATAAATTTATCTGAACTATTTTCTTTTTGTTACCTTTTATATAATGGATTTTACAAAGGTTTCACAATATACAGACATTTACAATTTCATGTTCTACTAAATGATGCAAATATGTGTCAGCATTGATGGGAGAAATCTAAACTAAATTAGCTGTCATCATCTCACAAAGAAGTACTGGTATCTCTATAACAAGAATTTACAATGTTTCCATATAATGCTGTTATACAGTTTGGATATCAATCATTCAGTCACATGATGTAAAAATACATCACTAAACATATGATGGCCTGTCTAAACATGGATTATTGTTTGGATCTTCTCTGCATGATAGACAATATTTATAATGTATAACATCAAAAGATAAACATGATCATCAGCATATACTGAAAACAACCTGGGACAGGGGTAAGGCTACAATCCTATATCCCAAACCCTCATCTAACTGTTCTGGAGTTCAGAAGTTTTCAGGGTCTTGAACAATAAAGGAATGAATATGATAGATTTGCTCTGGATAATCAACAGGTATTCAAACATACTCATGTACAGGGAAAATATGTTTATAAATATATAAAACATGAATGTTCACGGCTTTGTATTAACTGAGGTCATGTTTGTTGCTAGGTTAGTTTGTGTCATGCTAGATTTGGACACAAAATGAATTCTCTGGAGAAAAAAAATTCAGGTTTCCAAGACTCATATTTTGGAATTATGAAAAATAGATTGTGTACATTTGCTAGCTCTAACATATATTGATGTGAAAATAAAGTATTAATTGAAACTTTGTGTTTTGGTAATAGTTTAAGAAAATTTAATTTTGTTAACTTGTATAATTCTCAAAATAGACCCGAGATGTGTCATTATATCTAAATAAGTTTTTCAGCTCATAGACAGATAATTCTTAAAATCCCAGCTCTGTTCTTAAGTCCTCTTCACCTACAATAACAACTACCTCATTCTGGCATGAACACCTTCAGTTGGTTGTATTTCTTTTATATTTATTTGGGAACCAACCACAGCATTAAGATTTCAATAAGCACTCAGTAAATATTGACCATGGGTTAACTCAGGCAAAAGAGTAGTCATTGGGTAGTTCTGGGGTTTTACAGGGCTCTGTTTTTTTCCAGTCTAGATCTAATAGACACATAAAGTAAGCCAAATATTAGAATAATAGAATTATTTTAATAGCTTCACTGTTCAGAAACTATTATTGCTTCTGTAGCATTCAGAAAATAGAAAGATCAATATAAGAAAAACCTAATCCACACTCACTAAGTAAATTTATACACAAACTTAGAAAAAATATAATAATAAAATTACTTATGTATATCTAGAGTCCTTTAAGTTATTAAAGCTCTTAAAAATGAACAATGTGTATTAATCATCTAAAGCATTTACAAGAGCATGAGATTTTTAAAATAAAATTAATTTATTGATTTATAACTCTAGCCTGTTTAATAATTTTTACTTAGAATCTTTTATGTTACCTACAACTTTTCACCATTTCCTAAGCATTTTTAGAGCTCCCTCTACTGTTCAAATATGAACATACTTATCAAAATTTACTAAGGAAAGTAAACTGGTTTAGAAACACACAGCTGACTAAAGATTAATATTTATAATCTTAAAAATATATGATCTATGTTTGTCATTGAATATTAATTTTAAAATATTAATTTCCTCCTGTATCCATCTAAAGTTATCTGATCTATAATCAGCTTCTAAAATAATGAAGAATACTCTATGTAGTATAGCTTATGGATACCTAAACATTTCTTTTAAAGTTTCACCTCTCTTCCTATTTTATCAGAATGTATCTGTCAATTATTTTATTAGCTCATATATAACAAAACCTTGTCATGTACAAAAATACAAAAAAATCATTTTTAAACTGACATAATGGAAATCAAAAAAGGCTTAAATATAAGTATTTGTTTCATATTTGCATAAGTGTGTGAAATTATATAAGGCCTTTTCAAATGTAGAATGCTCAAGGACACATAACTCTTGAGTGAGTTAAAATGTTAAATATTATCCAGTATTATGTAAAAGAAACTTAAAAAGTATTAATACAACATTTAAATTAATGAAATATTTTCAAAGTCAAATTTGTATGTTCTAGGTAAGTTTAGATATTATGAGACAGTTTTATTACTAAAATTAATGTTCCAAATGGTGAGGTTTCCTTTTGAGGTGAAGTGTAATTTTCCCACTATTCCTTATATGAAATAATATATAGAATTTTTCTCTTGTGATTAAATGACAAACACTGAAATATGGGAAGCATATTTTATATGTTTTTATTGTAAACATATAAAATATGTTTACAATAAAAACATGAAGAATAGCTGTGGAACTTGGAGATTCCTGCACCAAGATCCTGAAAAACAATATAGTAATTAATTCCATGAGAAAATCATCAAGGTTTTAAACTCTAAAATAATAACTGAGTTTATTAATTCAATAATTAAAATGCAAAAATACACTAAGACAAAGCTTG